AAGCCTCCGTAAACACATAAACAAAACAAAAATATAACAATTAATGACTTATAAAAATAATACAATACAAAAACAATACAATACTTACCATATGTTTAGACAAAATACACAACACAAGTACAAATGTACTGAAAGGGAGTGATAAGAGACATACATACACATACATAGAGACACAAATCTAACCGTAAAAATAGTGAAAAACATAGATAACAAACATACAAAAATACATAATTGACAAAAATAATGTAACAAAAATTACAAAATAGACAAAACAAAAAGATAAAAACCGGACAAAACCATTAATTGACAAAAACATAAAAATAATTAAAGAGACAAAAACACAAAATCGACAAATAATGTAACAAAAATGTTTATTTAGACATAAATTTGTGACGGAAAGAACACATATCTGATGTGACACAGGATGTGTGCACAAAGTCCGCCAAAAATTTTAAGTATAAATAAGGGACACAATTTCAGTGTAAAGTTAATTGAGTTCTCAGAGCACTAAACATTCAATAAAGTTTTACTTATTTGATTGATATACGAGTACTCAATTCCTCATATCAGTGGTAACATCTGGGCGACTCCTTTGGCACTCTTGGCGTTCCTTCATTGGCACTCTTGGCGGTCCTCATTGGCATACTTTTGACACTCTTGGCGATACTTCTGGACACTCCCTGGACAACCCCTTCAGACGACACTTTTGGCAACCCCCGACGTACACCTGCTGACCCCTGACCAATACTGAGTGACGTCTCGTCCTCTGGTCACGTGGTTACCGCCATCTCTCTGACGTCCGCACACCTACCACGTGTTGGCCGCCATCCCTCTGACGTCCGCATACCTGTCACGTGTTGGCCGCCATCCCTCTGACGTCCGCACACCTGTCACGTGTTGGCCGCCATCCCTCTGACGTCCGCATACCTGTCACGAGTGGCCGCCATATTGGTTGACGGTCGCATTCCTGGCCTGACGTTCCTGACCTGTGTCGACGTTCCGGACATCCGCAGACGTTCCCGACAACCCGCAGACGTTCCCGGCATCCGCAGGCGTACCAGGCATCCACAGACGCTTCCGACGACCCGCAGACGTTACCAAAGACCTGCAGACGTTCCCGACAACAGTGGACCTGATCACCATTCGCCACCTGCTGCCATCTAGGTGTGTAAGGAACCGACATCCGCCACCTACCCCTCCCCTTCTTCTCTACGGTCAGCGACCAACTACAGACCGATGGATCACTCCGGAGATAGGGACATCTGCGCGACCAGCAAACGCCCGAGGGAATGGGAGCGCAGTCACTGCCCTTAGGAGGTCAACAACTCCAGAAGTCTGTCCAAGTCAATGACCACTCCGTCGCCCGCCACTGGTATTTGAAAAGACCGGACGGGGTTCCCTAACGGGAACACCGGTCGGTCGACCTTCGGGTTTTTGCTCAACTCGTTGGTCACCTCGGGGGCTCTCCTTCTCACGGAGAACCCCTACTGCAGTTATGAAATATGGCCCTAGAAAAGAAGCCATTCATAACAATATTTATGAAGCTATAATTAGGCACGGGTTGTCATTTTAGAGAATTTAACATGGGCCAGATAGGTTCCAAGATATATATTTAAATATTTAAGTTATTTTTACCATAACTTCTATGATCAAGACTATAATTCTATGATTAGGGATGTTTTAATATAGTAGTTGTGACTTGATTTTTTTGTGAATATAAAGTTATAATATTAATATATAAAATTCCTTTTATTACCTGATATAAATATAAAATAGATTTGATTACTGACATAATTGTATAAAATTTATTCATGTTAAATTATGTTTTGTTAAAAATTATTTGTAAAACAACCAAATTGCATTTGTTTGTTTTAGGGGGAGCAAGTGAAAGGGTTCACCCTTTAGTGATTATAAATTTTAATATGTTGTTGTTGTCCTAATTTAAAAATTGTTGTTGCATTAATTAAAAACATAAATACTAAACTTTACTAAATTTTAATTAAAAAATAGTTTAAATTTTGTGTTAAACCGTATGTTTTTTATGTGATTTTTGTAAAAAAAACTGTAATTAGCATTCATTCTGTATTCGGGTTTCAGACTTTAAACACAACAAATAAAAGCAAACTTTTTTTTACTAAATTTTGTATTTTTACATTCCCGTAGGGTGGCCAACGGGCCGAACCCTTACAATATGATGTATATGATGAACACATTATCACACCTCTCGTCAGAATGCCAACAGCCATGAAAGCGCACTGTTTTTGTATTTTTTTATTTGCCTTTAATTTTATTATAAGAAATATGTGTTTTATTTCATGAACGTAAGATTTAGAATTTTGCATATCATACGACTATACATAAGGCCGACGAGCGTATAGTGTTTGTCGGCGACTCAATAACCAATAATTGGCTACTGTTTGGGCAAAATGTATGGGACCTACACTACGGCGCCGGACATCACGTCTATAACTACGGCATCTCCGGTGACACCACTTCTAACTTCATATTCCACCTAAGCAGACTGGTGTAGTGAACTAAGGCACCGGTCATTGCACTGCTGAGGTAGCGAGTTCGAGTCTGATGCCGGCCCACTGAAGTCTTTGTCATGTAGATGGCACTGATTTCAGCGAGATAGTTACGGACTGCGACAACTCTCGACCCCACCGGTGGTACCGGTAGACTGAGCCACAAGTCGTAATAGTTCTCTGAGGGACACGTCTACCGTATACTCTGTATGATGTATGACGTTAAACATTGAGAATTATTATTATTAACTTCATATTCCGGATCCGGAGTAACGAGTTTGACGAACTATAGCTTAATATTACTGTACTTATAATCGGTTTGTTTTTAAAATTATATATTTTGATTAACAACACTAGCCCAAATATAAAGAATTGTTTTTAATTATATCAATTTTAATATCAAACTTACAAAGAGTTAATTATTAGGCACTAACAATGTTTGGCACAATAACGATACGGCTGATGATGTGAAGTAATGAGCGAAATCTAAAACCCGAACCCGAGTTAAACCCGAACCCAACCCGAACCCTTTAGGGTTCGGGTCGGGTTCGGGCCTGCTTTGTAAAATTCGGGTTGGGTTCGGGTTTGGGTTTGAGCCAATGTGAACCCGAACCCGAATCAGACCCTAAACCCTAAAATAAACTTTATACTCAAAAGACATGCGTGAACTCATACAAGTGTTGTTTTTTAGCACAAATGACTATTTATATAATCAAAATAAGTCAACAAGTATTGTTATATAGCTAAAACGTGGCAACAGTTCAACAAAACGCCATAAATGTAATGAAACGCTTGTAAAACCTACTTTACTGTAGTATTTTTCGGGTTTAGGGTTTGGGTCGGGTCGGGCTTGAAATTTGAAACAAGGGTTCGGGTCGGGTTCGGGTCGAGTCTGTTCGGGTTCGGGTTGGGTCGGGCCGAAGATTTTGTCGACATTTCGGTCACTAATGTGAAGCACGGAATCGATATGATTGTAAAAGAGTTGTTGACTAAAATGCCGGCCACCAAGATACTTTTGTCGGGCAATTTGCCAGCACCATGGCCAGACCAGTGCAAACAGCTTAACTAACTTTTGGCAAAGTTGGCCGATAATAAAAGTGTATGTTTTCTGGGCATGTGGTCAGCATTTGTGGACAAAACTGGTAGACAAAACCCGGATCTCTTTGTGTCGGATGGCATTCATCCCAATGAGTCCGGGTATGAGGTCTAACATAAAACTATGGATCACTTACTCCGCAAACTCTATCAATCGTTTTAATAAACAATTTATTATTATATAAAAAAACATTACAATTATTAAACTGTTTTTCCATTATTTCATAATTTATTAACAAATAAATTTTAAATCTCCAAACTTAAAAGTAGATGTGGGTAAATAATTTTTAACCACTATTCTGATATGAATAATGTGGTTTATAGGATCGTTCGGCCCCTTCTATATCGGAATAAATTATTGAAATCACACGATTAATCAAATCATAGAAATTTTTGGGACAATTTGAAATGGCCATGATTATATCCAAATTGAAAATGGTTCGGAGGGGGCGGGTAAACTATTTGGAAGATAAGATCAAATTGTACTAATAACTTAGTACCATCGTCATGATTGGTGAATTTAATACAGTAGGTTAACATTTAAACCAAATAACATTTTTATTTTATTTATTATAATATTTCCAAATGTTTTCATTACTACAATATAAATGATTATCACTATTTTAAAAACATTCAACATGTCAAAAAATTGTTTAAAATAACTACCGGTAGGAAGTTAAAAATATAACTAATTATTTGGGTCGCGGTGTAATTATGCTACCTTTTAGCAAATATTTTTAACCACTATTCTGATAGGAATAATGTGGTTTATAAAATCGTTCGGCCCCATTATCCCAATCGTTCAATGGGATAATGCTGAGTCTATGAAAATATACTAAATGAATCTGACATAATAAATCGAACTAATTGTTATCAAAAACAAGTAAATTTCTCAAAATAACAATAGTGAAAGTATTATAACAATAGTATTGAAAAATTTAAAATCTTTGATGCATTTCCCGAATAGTGGTTAACGCATAGCATCGCGTGTGATTCTTGTTTTATTAAAATTTTTTAATTTCATTAAAATTTCATACACGTGTTCAGCATTAAATTATACATCTAACTAAAATATATTATCCATAAATTACGAGCATCAATGACGTAATTTTTGAAAAAATAACCGAAAAAGTCAAATAACTTTTAAACTATTAGTTCAATTTAAAAACGGTTTTCATAATAGTGATCAGCATTAAATTCTACATCGATCTGATATATAACATTCCGAAATATTTTAAATAAATAGCCGAACGGTTATTCAAACCACATTATTTATATCAGAATAGTGGTTAAAAATATTTGCCAACGGATAGCACTACTACACAACGACCGTTAATTGTCATTTTTTGTTTATTTTATATCAAATCTAATATCTGATTAAAAACTAATGTAAAATAATTAAAATAATATTGTAACCATGTTAATCAAAATTATAATAAGTGATTATTGTAATTCATCCACAATCTTGTCAGCAATCATTGAATTCGTAAAATCAATTGAATTTGAATCACTGTCCACTTTTGAAACCGAGACATTATCGAACGAATCCTGGTAAAAATTAATTGATATTATTTGTCAGTCATCTTTCATTATTAGGAAAAAATATATAATATTAGCAATTTATATTATTTGTCTAATCATCTCTCTTATTCTCTCTCTCTCCTCTCTCTCTCTCCTTCTCTCTCTCTCTCTCTCTCTCTCTCTCTCATATTTCTTTCTGTCTTTCTTTTCTGAAATACAGAAATAAATTAAACTAAAGAAATTATTATAAATAAACAAAATATACATTTTTATTTGGGAGGAAATACTTATAACGTGACATCTCCGCGAACTCGTCCACATCTTTAACCGATTTAAATACAAAAGGCTTAATAATAACCACTTTTCCCGATATTTTCGACCACTTCGTTCCAACCGTTAGTTTCAAACGATTAGCAAAAGTTTTCTCTTTTGACGAAAGATATGTCAAAAACATATTAATTCTGTCAAACATTTTTTGCAAAATCTGCTCCATATCTGTGGCCACCAGTCCTTTACCGGCAAACTCTATCATTTCATTCACTATGTACTTAACTTTTGCTCGCACATCCGACTGCTGTTTTAATTCGCGCATTAATTTACCATAATACGCTTGTGGCAAATCTTTAGCAATATATCCTAATATAAAATTCATAATTACAGTATCGCTTAATGACTCGCTTTCAATGGCATCCACTAAAATGGCTTTCCCTTTCATTCCTTTCAAAACTAGTTTTACGCATGCAATGGTGGTATCGAAATATCCCACCACATCGTATTTGCCGCTCGGCTCTAGTGTTTTCAATAGGTTTGCATAATATTGGTTGATGTCTTTTAAAGTGGTCATTTCACTCAACTCCCGTGTCCAATTTATGCCAATCACTGGTCGATTAATCCTATTGGCCAATTCTTCCATACCCGCAAAACTAACCAATAAGGGTGGCATGAAGTACACGGGCACTCCATAACGAACATTGTTCAGCTGAACGTGTGTTTCGCTAGGAATAAGAAAATTATTTTTTAAGAAACGATCCTTGGCTTTCTTAACATGATCAATGTGCTTTTTAATGTCGACCATATTTCCGGCATCGTAGTCTTTCAACATTCTAACCGTTATACTTTTTATAAACATTAACAAAAAACTTTGATTCCATTCCCTTTCAAATTCCTGCTGCAACTCAACGGCAAACATGGATTCGATGCCAATCTCGCCAAGAGTTAGATCATTGGGAGTATTGTTAGGATCAATGCCTAAGGATCGCCATAATATATTCACAATACTTTTGCCACGATCTCCGGTCAATTCTTTATTTACCTCGACTTTAACCTGATTCAAGCATTTATAAGTTAATAGAATATTTTAAATATTATATTAGGTATTACATGTGATGTGACAATCGTTTGTTTAATTGCCAACAATTTATCCAAAACATTAAAACAAGAGTTGGTTCGCTGGTTTCTCAATGAGGACAACATTAATAGTTGATCTGAAGAGTCTGCAAACACTCCCACATCACCGATGGGTCCGTATTGTATGGCGAGTCCGTGCAGACCATCCCTACGTCTCTCTTCACATATACGCTCACACATGGAGTTTCCGAACGCATAGTTTGATTGCCCGGCGTTTCCTTTACCACAAGCTATGGACGAAAACACTACAAAATAATCCAATTTATACTCTAATTCTCGCGTCAGTTGATCCAAATTTGCAAATATCTTGTGTTTCGTATCAATAGATGAACAAAATTTTTCAAACGATATTTTTTCTAACAAACAAT